CCCCCCACCCATCCCCCCCCACCCCCCCACACACCAATCTGCCAATCCGCTCGCCACCCCAGCCGCCCCAAGCACCCATCCGCACCTTCATTCCCCTCGCCTGCAGCTTGAACTGCGCGTCCTGTAGCCGCTGTTGGAAGTTCATGAACACCAGGGCCCGCTGCACGCCCAGGGCATGTACGGCCCGGCGAAGCGCATCCACCTGGCGGGATGGCGGGGTGGTGTGTGAGTGGGTTTTCGGAAAAGTGGGATCCCCGCAGTCAGTCAGACAGACAGACAGACAGACAGTCGACCGGGGCCCGGTGTGGCAAGGGGAGGGCGGGAGGCCGTTGGAATCGCAGGGGCATCACCAAACACATCACCCACAGGCGTGCCCTAGTTCCGGGTGATGAAGCGAATTTGGGAGACGGGTTCACAGAGGGGCCTGAGGGGGGGCCCTACTACGGGGGAAAGGAAGAAAATATATATGAGAGCGAGGGGGAGAGAAAGAAAGTAAGTAAAAACAAAACCCCCGGTGACGCCATGCTACTGGTGTTCCCGCACCGCTGCCACCGTCCACCCGAGTGGCATGAATGTGGCACAAACCTCCAACCCCCTCCAAACCCCTCCAACCTCCAACCCCCCCAACCCGAGTTGGCGGCACCAACACACCACACACGGCACACCTTATGTCGCGGCTCCACCACCATGAAGTAGTGCGCCAGCTGGGGGGGCATGGTGGGCACCAGCTCCGCGCCCTCCACACCGCCGGCCGAGCCGCGGCCCCGGGCGGCGAAGGTGGAGGCGGGCCCGTCCCACCCGCGAACCCCCCAACCCCAGGCTGGGTTCACCTCACCCTCCTTTCCCCCGCCAGCGGCCCCCGGGGTCCCCTCCGCCGCCGCCACCACCGCCGGCACCGCCCCGGCCGACACGAACCGCGGGTCGGGACACCACCTTGCGGAGCGACTCAGCACCCGGGGAGTCAGAGTGGCGCTTACGAGCACCGTCTGACGCAGACAGGCCGCGGAGCCGCCCCCCACCCCTACCTCTCCCACTGCCCTGCCCTCAAGA